TGTGTGTGTGTATGTGTGTGATCATTCACTTGAACCTGCACACATTTTTCTCTATAATGGTGTGACTCAAATGTGTCATGTGGTGCTCGGGAATGATCAGTTTATTCTGCAGGAGGTGAGGTCACTTCCTATTTTGTGTAACAGCTTCCAGCAGGGAGCCCTCACCTTCGCTGCGAATCTGGTGTCGATCCACGCGTGCTCGCCTTTTGACGTTGCGCGCGCGTATCTGTGTGTTCCCTTCATGCTGCGAGTGTATTTTTGGGGCGGTGTTTACTGGTCCAAACCTGGCTGGACGGGCCGGTAGCAACAGGAGAGGGGAAGTCCCCGTGGGAGAAAGAGCGGGAGGGAGCGCTCCAAACAGGATGTGGCCAGGGAGGTCACCCTGGGTGTGGGGACGGAGGAGAAAAGTGGGGGGTCATGGTGACTCGGCTGGAGAGGGGAGAAGGGAAGTAATTTGCAGATCATGTGTTGTTATTTACAATCGGAGGATAGGGGACAGCGAGAGAAAGATGGGGACAGAAATTGAAGAGCAGGAGGGGAGCAGGGAATACGTGTCGGCGGGATGTTAAGGGCAGGGGGTGCGTTTATTTTTGATCTACTCCCGAGGCAGCATCCTGTCCTGGACGGGTGGGGCTAAAGACAAGCCAGGGAGCAGAGGAAGAGGGCTAAGACAGCCCATCTGCTAGTCCCAGACACACACACACAGACACACAGACATAGACGTGCTCTGTTGGAAGAGTGTCAACGCCGAGCTATAAATACACTGAACCCAAAGAAGACCACAAGGCGACTTAGGTGATTTTTCATTTGGTGTTAAAAACAGCAATGGAGTTGGGGCACACATTCACACACACAAACACGCGCGCGCGCACACACACACAGCTTTTTGGATCGCCTCCAGGTTACCCCCACACACACACATTTGACACAAATTCACGCACTGACAGACACTCGCTGATAGCACACACAGACACACGGCATTGTTCCAGCAGCAGTGCTTCCTCTTCCTGTGTCTATTAGAGACTTGGCACATGCGTTTCAAGGTGTTGGTGTTACATCACCGCAGAAAAGCAAAGTGTTTGTGCGCTCAAGGAAACATGAGAGAAAGTTAATTTGCCGTCATACTAATCCGGACCTCTAACAAGGTCACTGCCATGTGTGTCGATCTGATTGTTGGTCATTCTTGTTTTGCTTTAATCTGAGAGCAAAAGAAGAGTTTTTGTCTCCACTGCAGTTCAGGTCCGACTGCAAACAACAATAATATATATGCGACAGTGATCCCATGCATAGTAAAGCTGATGGGGCTGCTTCTTCATCCCTGTAAAGCAGCCAACAGCATCATCACCACAACACAAATGCACATTTTTGTGTGTGTGCAGTGCAGTAGATAGCAGAGCGAAGCAGGACAAGGCAGATTAGATTTTCTCTTATCTTTATCTCTTGGTTTCCTCTGTCGTCCCCTTCTCCCTTTCCCCACGAGACTGTGTGTATGTGTGTGCGTGAAGCGTTGTGTATTCCAGTATTCTATTCTACTTTTCTTTTTTTTTTTGGCATCATGTGTCTGTACATGCATGTGCTCTTAACTGCGAGTGCAAGTCCGCGGATCTATTCCTGTGTGTGCGTCTGTGTGTGTGTGTGTGTCAGTGTGGCAGCGTTGCGCGTGGGTAATGCGACAGGGCCATATTTCCCCAGGGCCCGGGGCTCTGCAGGCTTTAGCCTCGCTCTCTCTAAGCAGTTTAGGAAAAACAATGACAGGCCTCTGTATTGACTGGTCTGGTCTGGCCTGGCCTGGAAGACAGGCTGTTCTCTCTGCAGCACACACACCCTCTGTTACAGAAAAGAACAGCAGATACTGAACCAGGGCTCGTATTCATTTCAACTTAATTAAAGCTATTCAAGGAATGAGCAGTTAAACAAATAATAAACGCACATAGGTGGTGGTTGAGTGGTTGAGGCCTCTCTTGCCTTGAGCCTGGCTTTTACTTCCAGTTTCTTCAGTTTGATGCATATGTTTTTATGACACTTTGCCGGGAAGTCTTCCTGCTTGCATAGTTGTTTCATCTGTTAGACATTAAAGTGCTCCCAGCAGTTTAGGGGACATAGTCTCTTCACTTTGCTGGAAGGTTTTTAGTGTGAAACATTCGCAGGTGGAGAATTTACACACCAAATCTAAAAACACTGCTCCTTTCTCCCTTTTCCTCTCCCCTTCACTCTCTTCCCTGCTTTTGTCACCCATTTTTTTTTCCCCGTAGAATATATCAATTACTCTGCTGTAGAGCAGATGTCACACTGTGGCACACACACACTCGCACACACTGATCGATCGCAGTGCTGCATAATCAATAGCGAGCCCCCAACAACTACGTAAATGAAGAGAGGCGACCAGGAGGTGTCAGAGAGCGGCTGACTGTCATTCACTCGTCCATTATTTTCCTTCCACCTCCCTCGCTCTCATCTTTCTCCCTGTTTCTCCTTCTCCTCTCCTCTGGGCTATTTCCAGCAGTCCTCTGCAGCGCTGTGAGCTCCTCCAGGGAGTGACCGCGGCCTCCCTTCCTCCCTCCTCTTCCTCTGTCCTTCCTCTCCATCCCTTCCTCCGTCTACAAATCAATACACCAGCAGTTGGACCCGTAGAAACCTGATGGGAAAACAGACAGACATTCTCCCCTCTTTTCCCTCTCAAGCTCCTTCCTGCTTCCCTTTTCCTCCTTGCAGTCCTTCGATCACCGTGTCGTATTTACTTTATTTGTAATTCCTCAAGCCTGATATATGACCTTAGTGTTAGAGGTCATGTACGAGGCAAGTGAGGAAAGACGAAAACCAGACATGGATGGTGCTCCGCTAGGAAACTGGACAAACGCTCTGGACGCCGCTCTCGTCTTTATGATTTAACATAAAGAGGAATGAGCCTGACCTCTTCTGGCAGCGGGAGGAAAAGCAGGCAGCGGAGAGGCAGAGGACGAGTGGAAGCGATGGAGTGAGAGGCAGCAGACAGAAAGAGAGGAGGGTTTTCTATCATAATGGGGTCAGTGGCTCCCAATGAGATCTCCCTCCTTGCCGGAGAGGCCTCCACACAAACACACACATGCAGAAGCAGACACTTATTTTTCACCGTCCCTTTTCGCTGTTTTGCTCACTCGTGCACCCATTTTTTTTTTCTGAAACCCTGCATGTGGCTCCATACATGCGTGTGCAGCGGCCTCTCCGGCGTGGGGCATTAATACCCTTTGCTTTCCCCTGGACGGGCGAGCTTGGCCTCTAAAGCCGAGTGACAGACACTCTAAAACACACATTTTCTCTCACACACACACCAAAGGGCTCAACAAAACATGCACAGCAAGATAAGGGCCATAGAATGACAAATAAGTATTTATCAACCCCAAACCACGTATAATCCGTCACATTTCTGTCCCCATCCACCCCTCCTCGCCTCTCTGTTCTGTTCATCCCCTCCTCTTTTTTTTTTTCCAGTCTCCCATCCACTGTTCTTTTTTTGTCCTTTTTTTTTTTTTTTTTTCCCGTAGTGGGGCCTATCTGTGTGAGAGCGCGATTAATCTGAGAAAGCTGCTTTTAGTGGTGGTGAAGAGTTGGGAGGGGTACGCAGGAGGGGAGGGGGTGTTGATTGGGAAAATCTCGCTGGGAATTGTGTGTGTTGTGTGCGTCCGCGAGCGCGAGTGTGTATGCGCGAAGACACAGGGATGATAGGGGAAAGATTTCTAAGGGAGTTTGTGTATTGTGAGAGAGAGAGAGAGAGACGGAGACAGAGAGAGGTAGGGAATGTTTCACAGGGAGAAAGCTGTACTGTCTGGGGAAAATGAGGAGAGAGGAGGAGGAGGAGGAGGAGGAGGAGGACGTCCTGGTGGAAATTTCTCTGATACGCACACACACATTCCCAGAGAAATCATTCCAATCATCTCCTCATCTTCTACACACACACACACACACACAGACGGTATCTCCCAGCTTTAGATGTGATGCTAGCTAAGTTCCAAACCAGCAAATCCAGATTATCATGAGTTCAGTTGTAGCTGATATGAAGCGGCCACAGAGGACCGGTGTGGACGTGATTATGAGGCTTATTTTTGTGCTCCAAACACATGAGAAGAAGCTTCACATTACCTGTATTTACTTTGTGAAGAAAGTTTAACCTCTTATTAAGAGTGTGTTCAGTGTGTGTGTGTGTGCCGTCTTCATTTCGCATACAAAGCTGTCTGTGAATCGCAGTTCATCCACTCCAGTTTTTACCTAGAGATCACTGCATCAGTCTCCCTTTGTGCTCTCACTGCTGTTGTGAATTTTAATTTTTGAAAAAAAAAAAGGTGTTTTTTTTTTTTTTTTTTTATGCATTGTGATTATGTATTGATGTGTAGCGCGCCGACGCCTTTGGAGAGATGTGAGTGTAGGCGTCTCGGAGGTATGGAGACGCTTTCTGTAAAATATTAATCATAATATCAAAAGACACGAGGGTTTCACAGATCTGAATAAACAAATCGAGGCGCCGGGTTCCCACAGATAAGATTTTAAAACAGGAACAGAACAAATACAATGTGATCTGAATTGTTTGGTTCTGGACAAAACCAGGTTCGGCTCGGCGGTATTTTTCGGGATTGTTGGTTCTGTTTGTTTGACTGTATGACAAAATGTGTCAAAGCAGCCTCCAGTGGTGATGATGTTTGTGTGTTGAAATGCAAAATGATGACAAATCTCCTTGAAAGTCTGCGTGTGAGTTATAATATAATAGCAATCAAACATTTACTGTACATATAGTGCGTTGTACTTGCTTAATATTTCCCTCCTATTCTCTCCTTCTTTCGTCAGACGATGTATAAAGCAAGGAGGCCTTGCTGTCTATACTGTGGGAGGCAGTTGTGTTTCTGTTCTTTCTGTTCTATTATTGGGTGGGGGGGCAAGTGGAAAGCACTATGCTCATGTAGCCCATTATTTCTCTCATCATGTGTTCTCACTTTTTCTCCCTATCTCTGCCTCTCCCTCTCTCCCTCCAGAACCACACACTGAGTCAGCACGCGCAGTGAGACCGAGGCCCGGCAGGATCTCTCAGCTCAGCCGGGGCCCCCGACCCGGAGCCGGCGGGGGACCCCCATCTCCACATCACAGCCAATCAAAGTGTCATTTGCTACTCACATGTAAAACTCTAACGATCGCGCCACTGGGCGCGGCTATTAGGAGCAGCGGGGGAAAGGAATATTAATGGGATATGCTATTAAATAAAGAAAGGAAAAAGTGGGTGAAGAAAACGGTAAGAGCAAGATGAAGGAAAGAGATGGGTGAACAAAGGTATTGTACGTGCAGTATTTTTTATTGTCCCTGCCAAACCCCCCCCCCCACCCACCCCACCAGCTTCTTCCTCCTCCCCTTCTCCTTTCCTCTCCTCCCACCAATCACTCCCCAGGTCATGCATTTTATTTTTTTTAACAAATAGAAAAGAAAAAAAGCAAGAAAACACCCTTTGTTTTGGGATTTTTTTTAATAGATTGTAGAAAAAAGGCTTCACTTTCTTGTCCCCTCAGTTGCTTATTGTATTCAACTTCATAGGTGCCAATTTCTTTGATATTTCTTTATTCCATATGCGCTTATTTTCTTTGTTTTCATTTTTGTACCTTTCATTTCTTGCAGTAAGTAGGTACTTGTGCTGTGTTGTGATTGTTTGTTTGCCAGTCGTAATATTCCTGAACCCTCCCCCCCCTCCCCTCCCCCCCAACTATCCTTTTTATGATTATTGTTATATATATTTTTCCTTTTTGTAATTACTATGAAAAAAAAGACATCAAAACAAAATAAAGTGCAGAAAACCATACAGATGTTTCTTTTTTTTTTTGGATTGGGTTTTCCAGTCTCTATGGGGCCTATAATGGTTATTGTAAAAATGAATATCATCGATTTCAGTGCGTCTGGTCAATGACTGCTTTTTAAATGTGAATTAACCAGATTGCAATAATCTAGTACAGAAAAAAAACGATAAAACAAATAAATAAATGACAAATAAAAGAACCACTGTGTGATGTGAGTTTATTCAAAAGCAAGAATTTGAGAGGATGCATATATATTTGTATATATAGTGAGGTGTCATCCCTAGAATTTCTATTATTCAGCTGCTCTGTGATGGAAACGATGTGACAAAGATCTGCACACAAAACAAAACAGTCGCTCTGCTCACAGCTCCGACAGAACTGCAGCCTGATGACACCTAAACTGAAGGGAACATGATTGAATGTGTGAGTGCATCACGTCGGCGGCGTCTTCCTTCACTCATGTTTCACACCAGCACTTATCCATCCTGTTTAAATTCAGTGTTCACGGCGCTGCAGTGTAAAGCCTTCTGCACACTTACTGAGTTAGCAAACAACTTTCAGCGGCAACCTTTTGTGAGATCGACACACACTTTGTCCTAACCGTGGACACTTGCAAAGTTTTTTTCCAAAAGAAGCTGGAAAACAAAAACTTGCTCTCCATGCTGTAAAGAATTCAGCAACAGGAGCGATGTTAGTGAATAACACCACAGAATAAAGAATACCGGCAGTATTAAACAATGCAAATGCTAACAGTTGTTGGCAAAATACTTCCATCTCCTTTGTTATAAAGCAGAAGATGGGCTGTGTGTCATGAGCTCTGGGACTGTGCTGTCAGCCTGTGCAGCGTCATTATACCCGGGGATTTCTTTCACAACCTAACAGTGGGATTGATCACTCTGCCACAATCTTTTATGAATATATCTGGTTTGGAAAAAGACAGATTTTTTTGGGGAAGGGAGCGTGTCCTCAATTTCACTCTTGTCAGTACATTGACATCTCATCTAAAGTCTTGTCCTGACAATCAAAGCTGCAAATGTCTGTCAGAGGGAAGACAATATGATAACCGGTTTATAGTAACTCAGCCAAGTTTCAGAGCATCGTTCAGACTTACGATACAGAAAGATAAATCATTAGCTTTGCAAATTGTTCTGGCTAACCAAAACCTGCCCGCACAAAAAGAGAATTCCAAACATCCCATTGAAGATGTGTCTCTGCACCTGATGAATATGGTATCTAGCGGATCTGACAGATATTCTGATCGGGTATGCATGAGCTGTGAGGCTCCACAGTCCTGTACGGGTCAAAGCGATGAGATGAAGAGGCTAAAAGCTGCACAGACCTGCCGAGACCAGTGTGACTCCTCGGTCTAAAGGGGGCTTAAATTTTCACTTTGCTCCGTCGAAACTGATGATTTTGCTCCTCGGATTATGTTCACTGACTATTTTTAATATCTCGCTGCCCCTTTTTCCAGCTTGTTTGTGTATGAGTGGAAGGGTACAGGACTGCTGTGCATAAATCAACTGGTTTTGAGGTTTTCTGCTGAGAATGCTGCATCTTTGCCTTGCTGGCCCTTCAAACACAGGAAAATAAAAGAGGGAAAATTGTTCTAAAAATAAAACTGATTCGTTGGTTAGTGAGCTTCGCTGAATTTGGCATTACACGGATGGTAATACTTCAGATTTACCTTTGTTTGCACATTTTTTAGGAGATACTAAGAATGAGGGAACTGTATGACTGTTAAAAGTAAATGTGTGTCACTTTGTTTCTATGTTTTTTTGTCTCGATGGGATTAAAATAGATAAGTGACAAACAGGAAGTTCAACTCTAAGTCATCTGACTTCACCTGTATTCAGAGATACGTGTGTCCCACAATGCTGCTGCACTCCACTAGTTTGCCTTTTGGCTGTTGTGCACCTATAGGTTGGTGTTAAGGCCAATATTTATCACGAGACATGAAGAAGCTGGTGTTTATGGTGTGTCAGTCTGAATAAAAGGCCCATTATTATGTCCAAAAAACAACAATACTTATCCCAGAACCTCCTCACATGTTTCAGGTAAAATCTGCTCCTCTGGATGGAACTGATATGATAAACTGTATTTTGTTTTGTTCTGGTGTGTGTTTCCAGCAGCACAGATGCTGCTACATAATCAGAAACATTAAAGGATTATTGTATGAATATAATCAGTTTATTGAAGTTTTTTGAGAGATTTTCGACAGAAACCGTTTCAAACATGATCCTTTTTATGTACAGCACATGTACACTTTAAGCTCATTATTCCTCCATTGATCTCCTGAATGTGTGTCGTCATCTATTGAAACTGTAATCAATACTTATTTATTTATTTATTGGGGGTATAAGTCCAGTGGGAACAGCCCCCTGCTCCCACTGGACACTACTGCAGGATACCTCATCAATGCATCGCGTCGTGTTGGCCTGTTCTTCTACTGGATGTGGCCAGTAAGCATTTTAATTTTGCCTAATTTACAAAACACACGGTAGTTGTTATGAAGTAAACTTTACCTCAGATTATGTAACTGTAGCAGCTGAGTCCTCATTAACTCCTGCACTCCCAGATTACAACAAACATCTGCTGTAAAAACTAGACAGGGCCAACTACAGTAATGGTGGTTTGGTCTGGGGAGTATTCAGCTGTATGGAGATGATCATAGAAACATTATAGGAAAACTACGGTGTTTATCTAGGATCCTCCAGTGCTTTTTTTTTGGCCTTTGTGCCTTTATTGGATAGTGCAGTGAGAGAGAGACAGGAAAGTGGGGGAGGACGTGTGGGAAAGGGCCATGAGCAGGATTCAAACCCATGACCTCCATATTGGGACTGTAGCCCTGCACATGGGCACCAGCTCAACCAGGTGAGCTATAGGGGGGCCCAAGATCCTCCAGTGCTTTTGACACAACATGTTGCTACTAGTCAGACTCAGACAGTTTTATTGCAATGTATGTTTTTAATAAACAAGGAATTTGATTTGGTGTTTTTGTGCATAACAGTGAACATGTGGATTGAAAAAAATGTTAGAAGCAACTTGTTACGTGGATCATGAAGTTGACACCTTGCCTTTAAGCTACAACACAACAGAGAATTCAGTATTTATAGTACATTTCATTTATTTATTTAACCAGCGAGTCCCTTGAGATCAAAATCGCTTTTTCAGGGAAAGACTTGACCAAGAAGGCGCACAAAAATGACTAAATCGAATGACAGATATAGGCCAAAAGCAAAACACATTAAAACTACCAAGGGATTAAAGATTCAGAAAATCCAGCTCAGGAGCAATTGCACTCTCCAGTTGTTTTTTTTTATTTTTTATTTTTATCAGAGCTTTGAACTCGAAGAGACAAACTCATGAAGCTGTGGTGAGCTCTGAAGGTCGCTCCAGGATCAGGGTGTAAAATAGGAGAAAGTTCTTGGGCAGCATCTTTACAGCAGCTGTTTAGATGAACAAGAATCATGATGTAAGTGGAAGAAAATGACACGAGTTTGTTCAGTATGGCCTTACAGGATACTGGCCCTGCTGTCTCTGTAGGCGTAACCCTGTAACGCCAAATGCATCATATTTGATACATGAGTTTTTTAAACCTCTACATCATCAGTGTGATACTTTTATTTTATTTTATACAAACAGACACATTCAGTGTACACATAATCCATCATAGATCGTAATTCACGCACCAACAAATGTCAGATGTAGCAAAAATGATACAAATTAAACCTCGTACAAGAAAATTACTATTTAATCTTTTTTTTTTAAATTTATCAGAAGGTTTAATAAACACCCCATTTCCAAAACATTAGAATTTTCGGGCAATGATTTCATGGATCAGGCTTTACAGGGTGAAAGAAAGTCAAGACACCAGAAGATGAAGCTCATAGTGATGATGTCCTGGACAGGTAAGAGCTTTAATATATAGAGTGTAGGGAGATTTCCTGTTGGAAACAAGGAGCTTAACTTTCATTTTGGGGAATAACTGTACACGATAAAGCCTTATATCACTGTCCAAAAAAGCTCAAATGTTAGAAGCAACCAAAGAATAAAGGAGGAGAAATCTTTGTTCCTAATTGCTTCAGGACCATGCGTCTGTCCACACAGCATCAGACTTTGAACTGTTGCTCCATGAACCTCATTAACCCGACCTGCCTTCTATCCCAAACTAACACGGTCGCCATTTTCAGAGTGATGATCAAGTCATACAGGCTGTTGAGAAGAATCTGAAGGCTCAAGATGTGCCCTTCTTCCGCTAAGAGATAGTGAAGCTTTAACATCGGTGGACCAAGTGCACTGAAGTTTAAGGAGACTGCGTTGAAACATGATAATGCAGGAACAATCTGTGATGTTTTCTGTTTAGGTAAAGAACTTGTTAAATTGTAAATAATGTCCCCATAGTTTGAAATATTAAAGAACGTAGCACGTACAACTGCCAAATTAAGGCAGGTCATGTTTCAATAATAAAAACTCAGTGTAACCTAATTTTTTTTCACACCTCAAGTATGAGTGCTGGCAACATCTGAGCTGGGATATCAACCCTGGAGAAGCTCATACATTTGGCTTTCTTAGTGTTCAAAACCAACTCTAGATCATGCAATGAGGCCTGCAACTGTAGGAAGGCATTCTGGAGCTCATCAGCAGCCTGGTCCAGAGAAGAAACAACCGTGTGTGGTTCAGAGAATACTTTAGATCCTGACAGAAGGGCGGTAACAAGAGAAAAGCTGAGGTTACCAATCCATCTGCTGCTTCAGCACCGCGGACAGCGACATGGATTTATCAATACGCAGCGTGGCGTCGAAGTCGGCTCCATGGATTTTATCGTCCACAAACAGATCAAGAATCAATCATTCAGACAGACAAGACTAAGATATTCAACTAAGCAACCCCCCGTCCTGGCACACTCTCTGGTACTGGGAGACTGGGGGGATTGCAGGTTAACAAGGGGATGAAACTGCCCCTCATCCCCCGAAAAATCACCTCCTGACTGTGATACAGCTGAAACCAGAAGTTTACATTCACTGTGGAAAAAGATACACAAGCTTTTTTTTTTTTTTTCTCGCGATCTGACATTAAATCAGACTAAACTTTTCCTGTTTTAGGTCAGTTAGGATTACTAAAATTATTTCTATTTGCTAAATGCGAGAATAATGAAAGAGAGACTTTTTTTTATTACTTTCTTCAAAGTCATAATGTTGGTAATCCTAACAGACCTAAAACAGAAACGTTAAGTCTGATTTAATGTCAGACGGTGAGAAAAAAAAGGTGTTATGTCTTTGTATACAGTGTATGTAAACTTCTGGTTTCAACTGTATATAGTTGATCCTGTTTGTTCCAAAAAGTCCTCTGAGCGCATTTTAAAAACTGATGCTAGTTATTTGTATTTCCCACAGTGTCATTATTTGTCTTTTGTCCCAGTCAACACTGATAAACGTCCACATATCTGCAGCCTTTTAATGCACCTGAGGACCAGCTGCTCACCTGCATGCAGCGGATTGTGTGTGTTGCAGGATATTACACTTGATGCACTTTATTTTTAATCAGAGAGTTTCTCCCACAGTCTGCTGCACCACCCTAATGTTCTATTCATGTCTAAACATTAGATGACATATGTGACTATATTTCATACATAAAACAGAAAACATTTTAAATAATATCATGATGTGGTGTCACTGTGATGCTAAAGCCCTGTTTTATATGTGTCATCGGATCTCTTCATCTGTGATTGTAGTTATGCATTAAATCCCCTAAAAATAAGATTATCATTGATCAACAGTACAGCTGCTCTAGTTCTGGTTCTTCTGTGTGTCACTGGAGCAGCAGATCTGCTTCACACTACTTGGTGTATGTTGTATGAGCATATGCAACAGCTTCAGACCTTGTTTTATTCACTAAAGCAAGAATGGAAGGTTCTACATATAAGAAGCCAAAAAGACTTGGACACACTTTTCAGTTGTTTTTATCTCATCAACAGTAGATCTGCTCTGATTATTATGACTTATTTACTCTAGTGCACCATGTGATGGAACTTTGTGGGTGAACTTTTCTCTCTAACCAGCACCTGCATCTCTTCTCCTGGACTATTTACCGGATCACTCACCCAGATGACAGAATACCAACTTATAAATACACCGACCTGACTCCAGCTGGCGGCTAAAACTGGCATCTCTGGTCAAACTTTTACAAACATTTATGTCACGAGGTACACCTTCATTTATGATTACAGCTCTGTAAATCACTATCGGACTAATTCCAAGGCACATAGTTTAGTGTAGCTAACCATCACTCACTGTCACATTAATGTAGATCGTGTATAAAGTATAGAAAGAAAGTAGAAGAAGAAGAAGAAACTTACTTACTGGCACAGTGTTTCCTAAAAATGGTGCACTTATCAGGTTAAATTCTAAACTTTTCTGTAATTTTTTTTGGTCCTTTGCAGGAAACTGTATCAAGACTCCACATCTAACACTGAACATAAAAGTCATTTGGTGCGAAATCTATCCAAAGACTAAAAACTTGGTTTAAAAAAAGTGAAATAATTAGATATTTGTAATGTTAAGTGTCAAACAGTGAGCACAATGTAAACAAAAAGGAATAAAGGAAGAAGAAAAGGAAGTTTTGTTTTAGGAGATTCTTTGAATTGTTGGATTTTCGTGTTTATTTTTTCAGGGCAGCTCTAACTTAAGTCGAGTTTATCAGTTTATAATGAATAACACTGCATGGGCTCAGCCTTAATATGTATTATTGCCAGGTGAAGTTGTATTTGATTTCATTTTTATATAGTTTTAATCCTTACTTTGGTATATTTGTACCATAAACAACACCATAGGGTCTTAACCTCAGTATTTACACTTGCTGGGTAAATCCCAATATTATTACTTTTTAATTGTTTCTGATTTTAATCTTTAGCATTATGTAAAATAATATAATAATGCATCACATTATTCATGTACACATATAATATCATTGTGGCATTTTATATTTTCTAAATGATTATTATGATGCCTGTTGCTTTAAATGTGCTTCATTAATAAAAGTGACTTTATTGAAGCTGTCTTTATAAACTGGACATTCTCCTCTCAGCTCCACAGTCATGCGCTCAGACGGGGTTTAAAGCTTGATATTTATTTCACTGCATGTCCTGAGCAGGATTTGCATGACTTACGGGCTGTTTTGGTTTGTCAGGTTTGGGTGAACTGTTGATTCTGCAGCTTCCACTTTCCATCCGTCCTGTGACTTGCAGACGGTCCCTGCAGCTGACGTGACAGCCAGCTGAACTCTGAGCACCTTCCAATAAACCGGACGCGCAAATAAAAGTTTCTTCTGCAGAAATCCGGTGCGTCAGGAAGCAACGCGACGCAACACGTGCCGGCGGAGCTTTTACGCTCCGGATGGTGACGGCGGTCCGATCAGTGCAGGAGCTGCAGCGGGTTACAAACAACAACAACAACAACAACAAGAGAAAAAAAAACCAAACTGTGAAATAGGTCTGTGTGTCAGCGCAGCTCCGTCCGTGTATTTCCGGGTGGTACGAGCTGCTCCGGTACGTCCCAGCGAGCATCAGCTGCTCCAGCCTCCCTCCTCCGCTCAGCCACAACCAGCGCCGGAGGCCGGGACACGAACACGCTCCACCGACACACGAGACACATCCCCGGTTGATGTCTTTGTAGCTGAAAGCCAAAGCAGGGGAGGGCAGCGGGCAGGAGCTATGGCGGCGTCGCTTCTCTCCGAGACCGACATCAGGCACCGGTCCATGGCGGAGGAGGATCCGAACGGGAATGAGCACGGAGCGGCTGCACGCAGCGCGGCGCCTCGCTGGGGACCGCAGCACGCCGGGGCCCGGCAGCTAGCGCGGCTCTACTCGCCAGGTGAACAAAAGCTCGTTTTGTCTTGTTCTCGTCGTCGGTGTGAGTCGCTGTGTGGGTTCGCAGGTCTGAGACGTGGCATCAGCTGAGGCCTAGAAGCCACAGTGCGACATCAGGGCAGATGGACGCAGGGATGGTGGTGATGAGGAGGAGGATGAGGAGGATGAGGATGAGGAGGATGGAGACGCTCTTGTTTACAAACTACTAAGCGTGTGGCTATAGGCAACCTCAGCAAGGATTTGTCATTCATGACTAATTACTACAAAGCTTATGTGGCTTCTTGCAATGGCTGTAATGTGGTAGGCTGTGAATAATTGCATTGCACAGTGTGGAGGCCTGCTGCTCAGCTAAAGGGAGACAGGTTCCAGTCTGCAGCCGACTTCACAGCAACATCACACTGTCTTAGGCTTTTCAAAAATCTGCTGGATCACGTCTCACTCGGCTGTCTAGAAATGCTGAAAGTCCCTCTTTGGTTGCTGATCTTACCTGTAAAACCTCCACTGTGTGCATCCAAGTTACATATTTAGAAGGTTTTCCATCAAAAGTAATCCCGTCCTTCCTTAAAATGACACATGCAACTCTTCTGTCGCTTTGTGCAGCTCATTGTCATTCTGCTACTTGGTGCAGCTCAAGCGCATCAGCTCACCTACCTGGAGCTGCTCATTAGCAGGTTGTAATATTGGAGCACTTCAGCCAAACCTGTTTCTAGGAGAAGACTGTGACAAATCTTAGACTGAAAGCTGACAGGATTGACTTCTTTGGTTTATTTACAAGTCTGAGTGCTGCAGTTTCAAGGTGGAAACGCTCTGCTCAACATAAGAACACGATAAGATGAGGAACTTGGTTTTCACAGAAGGTGATCTTTAAAGTTAAAGCAGACCAAGCAAATTGCTCCTTTTCCTGTCATGTTTCTGTAAATTTGGGGTTTCTACTGATTAGCAACAACATCTAAACCACCATGCCAATGTTGTATAAGTCCCTCTTGTGCCACTGTAGTTGCTCTGGCTAGTCGGGGTATGGATGTGGGGCATCTGGGGCTTTCATGTGTTGTCTGGCAGCAGATTGTTTGGGTTTCTTGCGTTCCAGGATGGAGCCTACATAGATCAGTGTTGTGCTGCAGATGCTAAATCAGATTAGGTCAGCACAATCTGAGCTCTTGGTTGTTTTCCTCAAGCAGTTTTTGCAGTATTGCATTGACCTGCAGGGGGAGGCTGCTCCTGTCAAGGCTGTTGCTATTGGGATTAGACCAGGGGTGCCCAATCCTGGTCCTCGAGAGCCCCTATCCAGCATGTTTTAGATGTTTTCCAACACACCTGATTCAAATGATCAGCTCATCATCAAGCTCTGCAGAAGCCTGATAACGATCCTGATCATTTGAATCAGGTGTGTTGGAAAACATCTAAAACATGCTGGATAGGGGCTCTCGAGGACCAGGATTGGGCACCCCTGGATTAGACTAAGTGTTACATACACATGAATGTCAGAACTTTTCATTCTAACCTGATGATGTGCGTCATTCACGTCACCTGTCAGTGGTTTTAATGTTGTGGCCCATCGCTGCGTATCGACCTACCCACAAACACTTCACGTCACATTGGTGCAGCTCACTGTTAGAAACCAGTTGCTAACTTAAGACTCACTGACTCAGGGGGTATTTTTGTATTTATTTATACTTTCAAACTTCAATGTCAGACTCCTTCATAGCCTATAGGCAGCTGGGACCCAATGATGACCTCCTACATTTGTGTCTGGCAGGGAACCTTGAGTGTCTCATCTCATCTCTTGTCACTTCTGTACTCTTGTTTAACAGCATCACATGCACCAAATATATCGATTACAAGGATATTTTGTGTGTGTCACTGAATAATTTGACTGAACTGTCCGTTGCAAAGATGAACAAATCGGCCTATTTAGCAATATTTATTCATTTAAATCTATTTGTTGCACAAGTGGTTGCACATTTTTGCAACACACATGCACGATAACTTGAGACAGGGCTCATCCTGTGCTTTTGCTTTTTGCAGGAAGGGTGACTGTTTTGCAAAAAGGGGCGCTTCCACATTAAGCTCAATCTACCTGTCGAGAAGCAGCGTTCTGCCTCTGAAAGCTGTTGTTTCTACTGCGGCTCTCCAGAGAACATTTTAAAGTTTAAGAAAATAAACCTGAAGTCAGCACAGTTATCTCAGCTCGGGCCTGGAGACAAAATATTTGAACAGAAAGCATGAGCTACAAACTGGAGTTAGAAAGACGAAGGCATTTCCAGGCGTGCAGATCCCCCATGAAAGATGCTCTCCTCAGGGGAGGTGTAGGATGCAGTGCGTTTGAAGCCTCACCTGTATTTAGCAGGATATCGCTGCATTTGCTGCATCGGTTTTGATCGTTCTTTGTTTCTCTCTCTCCTCCCGAATCCTCCAACTGTATGGAAATACAATAATAAACAGGAGTACTCTAAAATATTTGCAGGATGTTTTGGGTCTTTAAAGCTAACCTTAGTAAAGTACACATGTTTAAAACGCTCCCAGCATGAAAAACCTTGCAGTCAAATATGTGGGATAAAGGCCCGCACTCCCACAGGACTCCTGGGTAAAGTTTTCAGATGCTAGTGAAGTTGTTGCCTTCAGGTGTTTAGTTCTAGGACAAAATCAATGTCTGTGACAGAGTCTACAGCAGTAATCCTCCAATCTAGTCCTTGGGGTCTGCAGTGATGCTGGTTTTCGTTTTTTGCCTGCTAGTTTAAATTCACCTGGCGTCCCAGTCCAAATAAGTCTGTGATTAGGTGTCTAGAATGAAAACTGCCTGGCAGAATAGAAAATAAGCAGCAGTCTGGATCCTGTAGGACTGAATTTTCAGGCTGAATCGCCTTGCATCCGTTACAGCAAAGTGTTGCTTCTGTGTCATGATCCGGAGGCCTCCTGTAGTAGCACATTGTGGTTTTCTAAATCATTTCCCATCAGCTCCACCAGCGCTCCCACTCTCTTCTGTTTGTTTCATAATAACAACAGCAATCGTTATTTATAGAGCACTTTAGTTATGAAATCATCGGGTTTCTGAAGCCAGATCAACACACAATTAGGTGTAGGACGACAAATACACAGATGCGAAAGAAATGAAAGCTCAGGAAGATCCTGAAATTCTGTTCAAGTCTGTTTTAAGAAGGGACTTAAAAGAGGTGGCTGACTCAGCCGACCTGATTTCCTCAGGCAGATCTTTCCAGAGCCTCGGGGTTCGGACTGCAAACGCACCGTCTCCTGGAACAGACAAAGGCCCTCTGACCAAAGACCTTAAAGTGTGTGCTGGCTGAGAGGTCAAAGGTGTTAGCTGTTATCATTTAGTTGTCATCAGATTTCATTCAGTAACAGATTGAGGAGTTTCACTCGTTGCTACATAAACCTGGTCAGTGTTTTCCAGAGGCTGCTTGTGATGATGCTACTTTTCCATTTTGGTTTCTTTCTGTCCTTTTTCTTTATATTTCCATTAATAATTACCATATTTAGTAGCCATGCATTGTCTGAGTGCTACACGACTGCATGGAGTTAACTTAAGTGCACATTTTTATTTGCTTGTGGTCTTGTAGAGCCAGGAGGAGTGTTTCCTCTCTCACAGCAGAGACGGGTCAAACCGGTCCTCCAGGGTTTGTTGGGAGCTGTAACAGGAGACGATTTTCCTCAGCAGGCGAGATTTGGCCAAACATTTACCATTATCGTCCCTTTCAGCCCTTCTGTTTCTATTGTGGTGTAAAATCTGCCATTTCTAACCACGATATTAACTAGATAGTGTGCCAAAACACATAGTATGGACTGGAAGTAACTCCAGGTCTATGATGCACACAGGAAATAGGAACAATTGAGGCTTTACCATGTTAGCCTATCTGATGAATTTTACACAGAAGAGAAGCCACTAAAGACTTTAAGAGGGCAGACTTTGAGTTTACCCAATCAGCATCCGTCTCCTCTGAGTTCAAGCAATCAGCGTAAAGATCCGTGTGTTGGTTTTTACTTGTATAGAACCCAGGGTCTGGAGTTTTTTTCTCCCAAATATGGCCCTGAAAGAGGTTCTACAGAGGCAGTTACTGAAGTCGAAACACATATAAAGGTTCCCACAAGTTCCTGCTTCTAGTATTCCCACCATTGTGTCGAGATTCAGGTTGGATGCAAGAAAGAAGATTGACTTTACTGACTTTCACATGTTTATTGGGTTCAAAACTGCTACGCTGCGCAGAAGTACATCACCTGAAGTCGTTTCTTTCCCCCCTCCAAAAATCAAAATAAGGTTTTTACAAGGGCGCACATAAAGGTTCCTACAAGTTCCTGCTCCGAGGATCCCCCCCACTGTGTCCAGATTCAGGTTGGATGCATGGATGCAAGAAAGAAGATCGACTTTACTGACTTTCGCATATTTATTGGGTTCAGTGTCTGTCCATTTTTGGTTTAAGATAGACTAACGCTTAGCAAAAACTGCTACGCTGCTCAGAAGTACATCAGCCGAAGTCGTTTCTTTCCCCCCTCCAAAAATTAAAATAAGGTTTTTACGAGGGCTCACATAAAGGTTCCTACAAGTTCCTGCTCTGAGGCTCCTCCCCACTGTGTCCAGATCCAGGTTGGCTGTATGGATGCAAGAAAAATGCTGATATTTTGGGCTGACTCTCAGATATTTATTGGGGTCAATGTCTGTCTGTTTTTGATTAAAGACAGATTAACACTTACCGGAAGTCAGAAGTCGGTAAAGTCCGAAGTCACGACTTTTTTCTCACAAAAACACGGAACACACATAAAAGTTCCCACAAGTTCCTGCATCTAGTTTTCTCACTACTGTTGCCAGATTTATGTGTGTTTTAAAACAAAAATCCACATTTTTTTTTGTCTTATTTTTAGTTATTTGTTGGGGTCGGCATCTGTCCATTTTTTGACAGATGAACACTTGTTGGAAGCTTCTGATGTAAACTGGCGTTACCTTGTGTGAGGTAAAGCAGAAAACAACTAATGACAGCAGTAGAATTAAACAAG